ATCTAATCAGTTCACTGTAGTCCGGAATAAAGCTTAAGTTTAAAATTTGGCTCTTTTCTTTGTATCCGTTCATGAGTTATCGAGGATACAGACACACACACAGATATCATCACGAAAATAGTCGAAACGGATTCAGGGGACCTTAAAACGTAAAAATCCGTCGAAAACTCGAGGTAGAAAAAAATCAAGATTCCTATACTTTTCTTATCTGTATACAGACAATCTGTGCCTGTTTGATGCAGGAAAATTTGTGGGAACTGGGTGCACTGGGGAAGGGCGATTATGTCAGTGGTAGATGCCCTAGATACCCAAGGTGGACGGAATCGGTATTAAATTTTTCACCTGTCAACTATCACTTTTTTATGACGTTTTGAAAATTTCTTTTTGATTTTTCGACGATTTATTACAAACGAATAATTTTTTTAATATTTTTCCCAAACATCCTTTGCTTCTCTCTACCTCACCACGCACACAAAAATTTCTTCGGGCGCCATTTTTTTTCGGCCAAATTTCGTATGAGGGGTTTCCGAGCGACTTTAAAAAATCGTAGCGTCCGAACGGTTGAAGCGATTTCGATGAAACTTGGCTCGAAGATGTAAACTAACGAGACGCTTTTTAGAAAAAATCGGCATCAAAATCTGTTTGGCCGTTTTCATGGCAACAGCGAAAAACTACCTAAAATCGTATTTTTCGAGCTACGACTCCCTTTTGTGGGAACTGGGTGCACTGGGAAATTTTTCACCTGTTAACTGTCACTTTTTTACGACGTTTTGAAAATTTCTTTTTGCTTTTTCGACGATTTATTACAAACGAATAATATAAAATATGTATATATTACGGGCAGTGTTGTAAGTTGGGCACTGACGATATTGACTGGACACTAACGTCAGCAGAATGCCCAATCAAATAGGAGATTTACAAAAATGACCGGCCAATATCGTTAAAGACCGAATTATCATCTTTAACCGTAACATATATATTATAAAATAAAAACGCAAGTACAAAAGTTCATTCCATGACAAGACAAAATCGGCATTCTGGAGTGTTCTTGCAGAAATTTTCCTGCATCAAACAGGTACAGCTTGTCTGGTCTGGTGGGCAGGGAATAACTCGCCAATGAAAAACTAGACATGACAGGAATAAACAAGTTCGCCCAAATAAAAAACACAAGTTTTGGACTCCTACAACACTAGAATGGGGGTATATTTGAATTACTTTAACAACGAGGTATATCTCATCCATCTACGATAAGTGGTCTTCAAGATACTCTAATTTTTGTGAAGCTGTGTCAATTTTTCGATTTTTGAAAATTAATATAAAAAAATACTGATTAGAAAAAAAAAATATTTTGGTTTTTTCATCCCACCCATATCGAAAATCAGTGTACCAAATTTTATCAAAATCAGTGAGAAGGTCTGCCAACCTCTGGTTGATTTGATATGAAACGACTCTCCGGTCTCAAATCTCTCACTAGTCATCTTTGTTCTGTTTTTCTCATAATTTCTTCTTTGAACATATTTATATCAACTCCTATGATTGCAAAAATCTAATGCAATAGTTAGATCTCTAGGTCGTAGACAACTTCAACACGTCCTAGTTTATAAACAAAACAAGAATATTTTGTCTAATGTAGCAGTTTATGAAACCAGTTACTTAAAAGTAGACAAAACATACAAACAAATCTGTGGCATTTAGGAGACATATGTTAACTCCAAAAATCTAAATCTTCGCTAATATGAATATTTTTTTATAAATTTCCATTTGATCTAACTATGTTAAGTCCAGCTCTGCTAATAAATCCCTTTTAGTTTGATAACATATTGATAAGCCCACTTTATTAAATTTTTGTTTGGTATAATCTTGCTAAAATATTATATCATGTGTTTGGAGTTATCATATGTATCCCAAAGGCACAGAAATATTTTTAAGAGATCTGACAACATGTGAATTTCGTCTCGCCAGAATTGAAGTTGATCCTTAATACCATCCTTTTCTATTTCATAACGCTTCCGTTTCGTTTACATAAAATATTAGATGTAAATAAATGTACATATTTATACACATGTTCCGTTTATTTTACAAATCGTTTACAAAAAGGCATGTCAAAGAAAGGGAAAATATTCAATAATTATTTTATGTAAATGGAACATAACCGGTATGGAAAGTATAGCGAGGATCAACTTTTAGTTACAAACTTAATATACAGGGTGTTTCATAATATATTCGCAGGACTTCAGGACGTAATAGCTCGTCCAAAAATATGAAAAAACGTTTCTATTAACTTACCCTCTAAAATGCACCATTTTCGAGATACAGGGTGTTGAAATTGAAAACAAAAATGTCTACGCCACTGGAAAAAGTACGGTTTTGAGACGCCCATTTGAACCGCCAATGTTTTCTACACAAAAAAGGTACATTTGGTCATACGCTCTAAAGTCGACCGTTTTCGAGAAAAATCAAATTTTAATATTGAAATACATGGTCAATTTTTGGAAATGAAACAAAATTTGATTTTTCTCGAAAACGGTCGACTTTAGAACGTATGACCAAGAGTACCGTTTTTCTGTAGAAAACATTGGCGGTTCAAATGGGCGTCTGAAAACCGTACTTTTTCCAGTGGCGTAGAATTTTTTTTTTTTTTTTTTTTAATTTCAACGCCCTGTATTTCGAAAATGGCGCATTTTAGAGGGTAAGTTAAAAGAAACGTTTTTTCATATTTTTGGACGAGCTATCACGTGCCGAAGTCCTGCGCATGTATTATGAAACACCTTGTAAAGGCGTTTTCTAATATTCATCGATGCCATCTAGATTTATTCCAAACTGTTATTTTATCCATCAAATTTTTTAGATGATTCATACAATTATATTCTTAAATTAACCTTAAATGATTAATTAATATTAAGTAGATGAGGAAATAGGAAAAGTTTGCTTAAAATTCCTAATGATATGAATGAAGAAACTCACTGGGTTTTTTTAAACCAACCTATAAGTGGGCTAACTTTTATAATAAGATTCAGCGTTAGATGTACAGCAAGAAAATGAAGACAGGTACATATTTTTTCAATTATTGTATTACCCGTACTTGTCTTTAGTTTTTATGCTTATCAAAAAGTCTTCGAATTTTTTGTTTTCATTAAATAAAGACAGTTTTGACAGTTAAGATTATAAAATCACAAATGTCAATCGTTCTCAAATATTTCATCAGCTGAGTCATGATTGCAAGGGTGTGTTCAGAAATGTAGGGTAAATGCGTCGACTTGCGCCACATACTTTGATTTTCTTTTACTATACGGAGAATGGTCACACTGCGCAGCTTCTGAGTGCCTTTTAAAAGGAGATAGAAAAACTCCGCCCCTTATTACGTGTTGCCTACATCTTGGCGCAATATTTTTAATAGGTGCGTTTGAATCATCCGCTTCTGTTTCGGAATTGTCGGTTTTCTTGTTTTAATCTGACAGGTTAAAACGACTAAACCGACAATTCCGGAAGCAGAAGCGGATGATTAAAACGCACCTGATATTTTGCTTGCTGCTGTCAGTGTCAGTGAATATTATTTTTGAAGTCACAGTTTATTGCTAAAGAATCAGTTAGCTCACTCGGACCAGTTGAAAGTTCCAAAATAACATCCACTCCAGGGATATAAATTCAGGATACGCAGAAGACTGCTGTTTTATTATAGGCGGTTGTCATATATTGTATTATCCGAGTTGCACAGTGTATAAACTGGAACATTGAGATCAAAAGTGCCGACGCTGAGTGAACGATCTGATTCTTTAGCTGTAAACTGTGTCACAGGAATCAAAATGGCCGCTCCCTAGGTTGGGCGTGTCGGACCTCTCTCTTACCCGTATAGTAATCAAAGTATGTGGTGTCAGTGAATATTATTTTTGGAGTCACAGTTTATTGCTAAAGAAACAGTTAGCTCACTCGGACCAGTTGAAAGTTCCAAAATAATATTCACTCTAGGGATACAAATTCAGGATACGCAGAAGACTGCTGTTTTATTATAGGCGGTTCTCATATATTGTATTATCCGAGTTGCGCAGTGTATAAACTGGAACATTGAGATCAAAAGTGCCGAACAGAGTGAGCGATCTGATTCTTTAGCTATAAACTGTGGCATAGGAATCAAAATGGCCGCGCCCTATGTTGGGCGTGTCGGACCTCTCTCTTGCACCGTATAGTAATCAAAGTATGTGGCCGGACCTCTCCCTTACACCGTATAGAAAAGAAAATCAAAGTATGTGACTTTAACTTTTTGATTAAAAAATATTTAAATATGAGTATGAGTGAGAGAATTAATTCCACCAATTATCGTCTAGTTGCCCCGGAAACGATGGTAATTTCATTCTAGAAAATATAAAATTTTATGATACTGGATTTAAGGTAATGAATTGAATTTTTACATAAAAAAGTCAATTTTTGAATGTTCCTACAATCTCAGATAACAGGGGGACTATTTTCAAACTCGAGAGAATTCATTTCTCTCAAGAGAAATGTCATGTCAACGTAAAACAGTATTTCTAATGTTTCTCTCGGTTTATCTCGAGAGAATTAAAATTCTTCTAAGAATTTTAATCCTCGATGCCTTTAAAAGCAGCGTTTCCACATGACGTATGACATTTCTGATGAGAATCTTGAGATAAATGAGTGCTCCCATACTTTGAAAATAGGTCCCCAGAAAAGACATAACCAAAAACTTGATTTAACAATAATTTGCACTTACTGTTCGAATTTTTTTATCGCTTTATCGGGCAAAAATAAACGTTCCGACGAAGTTTGTCCGAACGATTGAAAATTTGACGCTCTAGATTTATGAACGCATCCCCAGTCGGCAATTTATTGGTCACGTGATCCATCATTTTGTTGAATATTAGAAAACGCCTTAATATGGCGTATATGACAGTAGTCATCTGCGAATAAAGCTTAAGTCACTCATTTTTTGTTTAGTCACTTAAATTGTCAAGAGTGGTTTCTAAAAACTCATCGACTTGTTACAGCATCGCATAAAAACACAAGAGCAAGTTGAATAAAAAGGGAATGAGTGTCGCTAGTAAGTGGGGGAGCTTAGAACGCTTCGTCTATGGCAGATCCAGCTAACACACTCGCTGCTGCCAGCACTAGCCGCCGCAAGCGTGTGCTGCCAACGCAGCCACGTTCAGAGGCAAAACGCCTCCGAACCTCGCAAGAAGAAAGTATCTTTGATAAGGGTGCAACTACTACCAAAATACCGCAAAAGGTAAGTGGACATTTCAATTTCTACTCTTTTTCGAAAATTAACCATTTCATCCAAGCCATTATATACTTAAAAAAAGATCCTAGTGTTGATAGTAAAATTAAAGTTATTCTCCAATATAGAAAAGTCTCAGTCATTAGAATTTTAAAAAGAAATATTTATAGTGTCAAACTGAATATCAGTATATTTTCAAATGCATTTAATTGTGTTTTGGAATGATATAGTTTTATATTTATATAATGTTTTGTAAGGTATTGCGTGTATGTACAGGTAAAAACATGTTTACCTTACAATGAACTAAACAAAGTAATAGGAACATGCACATAACAGAGAAAGAGACCGCTTTCAGCATAACGCCGCTGAAAATCTTGTTCCATTCTGACACCAACGATATTCGACCAAAGGCGTAACATGTTGGAAATAAATAACGAATTTATGTTTGTGTTATTAATACTTTATTCATTTTTTTTAGGTATAAAGCAAGTTCAAAGCGTAAAATTTAAAATCAATAAAACACGAAAAAAATTATTTTAAAATGAAATCGTTTACATAATAAAATTCCGCAAAATAAAACATAATGATATTACAAAAAGATTTAAAGACGTTTTTTCACGACATTCGTGACGTTTTGAAGATGTATGCTTGTATCCAAAAGATGTTTTAAATTATGCTCGTATATATGCATTTTTTCTGTTGTTTTTCAGGTTAAAACTTCTAGATCAGGACCTTCTCAAAACAAGAAATCAGACCGAACCGAACACCTATCTAGGTCAAAGTCACAAGGAGAAATTCCCTCAACTTCCTCATCAACTCTCAAGGAAAAGCTTTTACCAGTATCAAATTCGAAATCCAAGAAACAAACCAAAAGTGATCCTGATCAATCAACCAGAACAGAAAGTGAACCGAAACAGAAGAAAAATTCTAGACATACTTTAGATATTAACCATAGACAAGATCATTTAGAACTAGGTTTAAGAAATAACAACACGGATCCTCCTAATTCATTAAGTAATAGTTCCACGGACTTAAGTAAAACCACCAGGAAATATAGAAAAAGTTCTGGCGCTGCAGTTAATCCGAAAGAAAAACAAACGGAAGAGAAACATAAATCCGCAAAGACTAATAATTTAAATAATTTTAATCTAGATACGAATTTAAAAGAGAAAACGGAAAAGACCAAAAAAAGTGACAAGAATAAAGGAAATTTGAGTTGCAATATTAAACTTAACATACCTCTTGAAGATAGTCTAGCAGCCAGCACTTCTGCTTCTAATTTAACTTATCCACAAGTAAGTAACTGTAACTTTTCTTCTACTTCTGGTAAATTCTTATCTAGTTTATTTAACGTTTTTTCAATTTTTCACGACTTCAATCTTCAATTGTATAAGAAATTTGCCACCTCTTAGATTCCTTCAATCAATTTTTGAAAACAAGATACTGCAGTTAATGTTAAGTTTGTGTATATGCACAGTATCCTATAAAAAACTTATTCTGAACTTTCTTCAAGGAATTAAAATTATTTTGTATTTTGTCTCGATTTTTTCCTAAATCTGTTCTGCGTTTGTAATTTTTATTATTTATACATTCAGTTCTGATTTTAAAAGAATATAAAATAAAGAAAAAGTATTACCTCCCTATAAATATTTATTCACGATGCCTCTTTTTTTATTTATTAGGTACACAAATACCCTTTAAGAAGCCATAGCAAAATTTCACTAAACAGTTCAATTCCGACTTTGGTTCGCGCTACCACTTCGCTCCCTTTATCAAAAAAGACTTCACAGGAACGAGGAAAAAGAGAACTCTTAGCACTGGGGGCGAGTAGCAGCCAGCCCACCACAAGGGACATCCAAGAGCCCTCTCGCCTCACACGCAGTGGAGCAGTGTTGAGGCGTAGCACACGAAGCAGCAAAGGTAAATATTTAATTTATTTAAAAAAAAAGACATTTCTCTATTTATTTTGGAGACTTATTAGGCAGCTCTTCTTCTTATAAAAAATAAGACAGAGTAAGGAAGAGAGAACATGTTTATAGTTATGGTTTATATGACTTTGATAAGTATTTCTACAAAAAAAAACAAAAAAAACTCAATGTGTGTAAGATACGAAATGTCAATTTATTTTAAAAGGAATTTACTGAATAGGTGGGTGGTCCCGGACATTCAATAATTTTTAGAAGTATTTCATAGCTCAGCAATGAGTCTACAATTATTGAACATAAGTGACATAAGAATCTGTAATAATTAATTTTGAGGATATTGTATTGTTTAAAAAAAAAAAACTATAGTTGCAAGCTGTTAACTTGGTGTGTATTTAGTACATTTAATTTATCCTATTTACTTTGGTTACAATTAAATTGTTTAAAATTTCTCTGGTTTACTTGAACAAGTTACACGATTGCTCCAAAATCGAACAACTAATATTTTTGCTCAAGTCAGCATTATCATCAGGTAATTTGTTTTTACTGTTGGTCCTCACTGTTGTCCCCGGATACTTAGAGCTCTCACTGCACCTTTTTCTATCCACGGTCGGTTACTCGGGCGCCAGTTTATTTGAAGTGGTTTATTCCACTAACTTTTGATAGTGCTTCAAAAGTACTCTGACAGCTTCAGATGGAGATGAAAAATTCCAGAGATCTATTGGAACTTAGGGTACAAACAACGGGCTTTAATCATTATTTGTGCTCAAGAAAGAATTTTCCAGGGGCTAAAAACGATAGGGAAAAAATAAGGTGTGGACACAGTTTAATAACTGCAATAATATGCCAGTTGTTTCAAGTTAACTATTCTACTACTTACGACAGCTAAACATAGTTTATTCTCGTTTCTCAATGCCTATCCATCTTGGAATAATGAAACCCTGAACAAAAATATGCCATGTAATTGTTGAACGTGGTTGGGAAGGAATATAGACCTGCAAATGGGACAGTTTCAGAGTTTCTTTGTTCTGATATCTAAACAAAAACTATTGATCTCTATGCAAAAGGATAAACACTTAAAATCTAAATAGGTGCATAATACATTAAACAAAAAATGAATTAATAATACTTAATGATTCATTAAATATATTCATTTAAGGTAGTTCACTGGCGACAGACGTACATAAAAATATCGCATAATAGTGAATACCAAAAGTTCGAGATTGTCAATACTAAAAAAGTTTATTTTTGTAAGACTGTAACATATATGTAAGCTTAAATATATGGATACGTTATAATTTCAAATAAAATCTATCCGGCAACGTCGCAAATATATTAATGGTGGGCTATTCGCGATTCAAATTAATTTTCGCGCGCCTGTCATTTGTCACCTATAAGCAGGATGTTTGTTTATTTACATGTGTTTGTTTTGGGCGGATTTTGTATTTGTGATTTTTTTAACTGTTTTTAGATAATATTCTCATTGTAATAGTGTTTTTGAGTTTCATTTAGTGTTAATTTAAGTTTATTTCTCGTGCTTTCGTCATAAATATAATATTTATCATGTGTATGACTTAATTTTTTGAAAATATTCACCTATTGGTTGTTACAAGAACATCTACAAATATGTATTTACTAAACCCAGGACATGTTTTATTATGTGGTTTAAAGGACATTTCAGCTACCAAACGTTTATTATTGATGAACTTATTTAAAAATCTTACTATCCTTATTCTTATATTAAGAAGTGAATTGTGCAGTACTTTGTATACATGTAAATGGTAATAAAACCGTCACAAAACAGATTACAATTTGATTCTTAACAAAGTTTTGCAAAATTTCAATATTGTGAATTTGTAGATATACATTTATCATAAGAAACAAAATTTTACGACTTGCACTTGGAAAATAATGAATACTTCAGTTTTGATTTTGACATTCAACACCATATAGAATGCAATTTGCTGGGGTTTTTTCGCAGATTTCATTTTTAATATAAACACTATCACATACTATAAGAAATAAACAAATTTAAAGCTAAAAAGTAAGAAAAAGCTCGAATTGTAATTGATACAAATTAAAATGTAAACAATGAACACGAACACCATTGTTGCCAAATGATGAACTAATTTTAAAACAAAATTAATAAATGAACTGAAATTAAAAAAAAAATCAATATAATAAATCGGTTTTATAAAAAAATCCTTAAATAAATATAAAGTATGATTACATATTACTAGACACAAATTTTGATTCTTAAATAAAAGGTCTTATCCACTTCTTCAAGAGCGAAAATCCGACGACGTAGCGAAATTTTGCTACTTCTGGCAACACTTAACGATATCCTACTTATAGGGTCCTTCTACAAATTTCCTCCAGAGGGCGTATCACTTAGCTTGAATCGCGAATAGAAATTTGTGACTTTCTCATACTAAGTTTAGGGGTTTGTTTTGGTTTAAACAGAACCGCTAATTCCAGTTCTCAGATACAGGGGCGAATAAATTTCTCAAAAACACGTTGCGAGGTTATAACAACCTTTTAGCTGATCGAGTGTTATTCTGTTACCGCCCGTTAAGTGTAGCTATTACAATGTTGCCAAGTTGTAATCATTTTACGCTACTACGCGTTGACTGCTTTAAAAATGTTTTAATTTTAAAAATCTTTTAGAAAATTTTATAATTTCTTGATTTACATTACATTAGTTTTTAAAAAAATATAGTAGGAACCGTTTGGAGATATCTTGAAATAAATGCATTGCTTGTGTACATGACAGGCTTCAAGAGTATTAATTATGCACATTTTTTTTTTTTTTTAGTTACGTAAAAGACACTTTTATTAACCTTATATATCAATTTTATTGAATTCTTAAGAAAAGCTGTTTTACGAATGAACTACCTTAAGAAAAACAAGTATTGGATATTAAAAAATTAAAAAAACCGACTTCAAAATCGTGCAGATGCCATTACCACATCTTAACCAAATTTATATGGGACCACCCCTGAGGTACCCCATTACTAACAAAAAAGAATCATATAAATCGGACAAGGTGGTAAAGCATTATCGCTAAACATACATAAAAAAATGAAGAGTTTGTGGATTTTCTTATGGGCCCAATTATTAGATTTTGACCAAATTTATATGAGACCACCCTTCAGGTACCTCCTTTCTAACAAAACAAGAATCATTGAAATCGGACACCGTGTTAAAGAATTATCGCTGAACATACATAAAAAAAATATTACGACGACTTGAGAACTTCATCCTTTTTTGAAGTCGGTTAAAAATACTAAAATTAGTACTGAAGAAAGCACAACAAACAAGCGCTGAAAGCTTTACAAATTAGAAAAAAAACATCCCTACAACCCAAGAATATAAAAAACTAAAAATAGTGGTATAAAAATGTAAGGTATAATCAAGAATTGTTATTGATTAGACCACACCACAAATTTTGGCTACGAAAGAACTGTGGTCTAACTTTTTTGATTAAATGGGGATTATAAGTACCATAAAAATACTCAGTATTTTCAACTAAGCGGAAGCTTTTGCGGGAAATCAGATGACTAAAATTTACAAATTTCTTGATTTAAATCGAAACTATTTTTAGCCGTTATTAAATTAAGTTAGTTTCGCAACAATGTTAAGTGTTTTCGATTACTTAGATAAGCTTATAAATGATTCACCTTGATTTATTTTGGAAAAGAAATTGTATTATAAGAGACTACAAAGCTGATTTCATATATGAAAGGTAGTAAAATAGTTAAGTGTAATATACAGTGTGTCCCCAGATAGGTGAAAAGACTCCTGAAAAAAGTACAAAATTCTCGATTTCAATTTAAATGTTTTCGGGTTCAGCCCTGTTTGGTTAAAGACTAATTTCCACCATCATTTCAATTTTGAGAAATCGAGGATGTCTTGCAAATTTTCAAAAAACCCATTTTTCTCCAAAGTGAAGGACCTTATGTTGCAGATAGATACGACCAAAAGTTATAGAATAATTGTTTAGAATCTCCATCTAGATCCATATACCGAATTTGAAAATCTTTGGCCAACTATAATTTCATTTATTTTGTCATATGAAAGATCAAAGTTAGTAGGGATTTTAAAATTTGGGATACGGACATATATTTTGAATTTAAGCAACTTTCCTAAATAACTTTTTGACGTATGTTACCGAAATGCTATTATGGTGGTTATGATTGACAACCTGTGTTATTTTTGACAGGTCTGTTATTTTATAAATGCACCAAAATAACAACCTGTTCACAAATAACGTGTCTGTTAAAAATAAGATTATTTGTCCATCATAAAAAAAATTTAAAAACTTAAAAAAACTTAAAAAAAAAATTAAAAAAACTTTAAAAAAGAAAACTTAAAAAAAAACCTAAAAACTTAAAAGAACTTAAAAAAGAACTTAAAAACGAACTTAAAAAAAAAAACTTTAAAAAAAAATTAAAAAACCTAAACTTAAATACACTTAAAAAGATTATTCTTAATGACTATTAAATCCAAGAAACTGATCAATAAGTAGACCTACATTTTTGCTTCGTTATTAAAGTTATACTGACATCATCCAACTCGAATCTCATTGATCTCTCAATATCGATACGTCTGGCTTCACTGCAAAACAACAGCAGTAGATTTTGAAGGATTAATAATAATAATAATACTCTCCCTAATTCACCCCCTTACGAGTGAATTTCAACCCCTGAAGTCGACTGAACGACTTGTGTAGGGGATGGGACGGCTATTATTATTATTTGGCGTGGCGCTCCGGGGCGACTTAAGGATGATTGATGGTGCCATTTGACTTACAGGTGAGGAAAACCTCACCCACCATCATCGAGGTGATAATGTATGGCGATTTTTATAATCTGCATGTCATATCAATAGAAATTGAATTTCTATTAATACGGCACACATCAAATCCTAAACCGAACCATGCAATTTAATTAAAAATCCACATGGTCTGGTCTGGGATTCGAAGCCCAGCAGTCTCGGACTCATAAACTTGCCTATAAATGAATATAAGCGCGTTAGACCGCTACAACATCGACCCGACCCGATTGATATTGTAATACAAGCTGTAGCTTTCTATTGTTTACTTTGTATATATCTTTGGGTACGAAATAATTTAATAATTGGGTATCATCGGCGTAAAGTTGTATTTGACTCTCCTTCAAGTACTTTTGGTGTATACTAGAAATAACGAAGGGCCCATAATGGATTCCTGGGGTACGTCTGATGTTATGATTGTTAATTTAAGAATGCTTTATTGAATAAAGATTAATCATTAATTTATACAATTTATTAACCACTGTGTTTTACTTAAAAACATTAATTTTACGATTTTTAATATTACGATAACCTTCTGGCTACTTGAAATCCCGGTTCAATTAGGACCAATTTCTAATAATGTATCGTGTAAAATAACGACTCCAAATTGTATGCAGTATTTTTCGTGTCAACTTACAAAATTATTCAATTACATTGACATTTGTTCATAGACGAGTAATTTGTACTTTTTTTTACAAAATAAGAAAACATTTTAAAATTAATTGCCAAATTATTCACACATTTTTTATTGAAAATACCCGACTTGAAAAGAACACCACTTTGAAATACATATATTGTTCCAGGGCACAGCTCAACAACGGGTTCGTGTGCAAGCTCAAGTGGCGCTAGTGGCAGCGGCAGCAGCTCGAGAAGGGCGGTGAGGCAGCAAAAGGTTGGGTCGGCAGCTCCGGCGCTCCTCTCGGCTCCTGCCACTCACGCTGCCGCAGCCATGGCCGCTGATCAACCGGAAATGCCCAATAACGGACTTTCGGGTAAGTCACATTCATAAACATCATTTTATTGAAAACGACTCCGTTTTACAATAATATCGTTTCATTTATTGTTGCTATTCACATAATTCGCTGAAAAATTATAAATCAAATGAGATCCGAAAAATTGAAATGCAATTTAGGAAATATATGAAAATGAATAATCCCTAATTCCCTCTACAAAATTATGAAAAATACACCCCAGTCCATCCCTAAAGTGAAAACAAATCAAAGAAAAATTGAAAAAGCTGAAAATTAAAAAAAATAAAGAAATAAAAAAATAGAAACAAAATAAAAAAGAAAGAAAAAAAGAAAAGAAAAAGGTAAAAAAAAAGAAAATAGGAATTTGGGAATAAATATTTTCATATTTCCTACATTGAATTGTAAATCAGTTGTTGATAACTAATCTAAGGGTAAGGGCCATATATGAATTGTACTTTATCCAAGACCGGAACTTAATCTAAAGAGAACCAATTTACTTTTTAAACACACAATAAACACTATAGATTGTAAATTGACAGTAATAACGGATTATGAATCATGTCTAGATACAGGGAACTTTTTTTTTTTTTTCATTGTTGAAATCCTGGAACAATAGACAGTGCCAGTCACAGACTTTGTAGTATCAGCATATATAGTTTAGTCGAAGGGTAAACTAAGGTCAAAACATGCAAACATGCCCGTATGTCAAAACTCACCAAAAATTCGTATGATTTTGGAGCAAGGGGTAAATACATTGTCAATTCTTGTGTACATCTTTTAGGGAATTCTCAGGTATTCTCTGGATATTCCCTAGAATTCTCGGGTAATATTGGGAATTCTCAGGTATTCTTTGCAAATGTGAAATGTCACTATTTGTTGCCTTTTCTCGTTTTTTGGTTTTTTCGATTTAAAAACAAAACAGAAGCATTTACATTTATTTTCATTTCGTAGCTGGTGACAATCAACTTTTCGTAATCAGTTGCATAATGTTCTACTTTATGCAACTGGTTGAATAAAGTAGATCGTTTTGACACTTGCTGCGTTTATAAAATATGTCATTTTATATGTCAAAATTAGGTAAAAAGTATTTATTAATTATTTATGTTATTGCAAATTTCAACAAAAAAAAATGTTTTATAAACAATTATAAAACAAATTGTAACTAAAGAAAAATCATAAAAAAAATACAATTTTTGTAAATATCTAAAAATTCTTTAACATTTTTTTTTAATATTATCGTTTTTATTTAGTTTAAATAAGCAGTTTTCGATTCTGTTGTTTACATCAATTAGTAATGTCATATTAGGGTAATGGTCTTTCTTATTGTTAATCCCGATAACATTTCCAGCTTAAATTAGGGATTTGTTTTGTATCTATTCCTTTCCACAAAATAAATTTTGTAAACATTGTTTTTAACAGGAATTTATCATAAATATGCTTTTGATGGACATGCAATCATTCATAGCTCCGCCCCTATTCGCGGCATTGCCGTACTTAGCATGGAAAATGTTCTTCTCTCTCGCACAAAAACTGGACAAGTTACCCGCAACCCCCCACTCTCTTCTCGGTGAATCTCTTGGTGACAGAATACAATATATTTTATTTCGGGTCAAAGCATCAAGTCAGTTCAACCAATTCAGTTGCGTTTTATTTTTCTATTAAAAACGATTTTTGTTCAAATTTTGGTCACGGTTTAAAGAAAATTTACGTTTCGGTGTTCAGTTTCGGTTCACAGCTTTGATTTAAACTTTAAATTGTTTTGTTTCTACTTTGATATGTGGCAATGGTGTTAGGTGGTTTCTTTGTGATTTAATCCGTTCCGTTCAAGTATTGTACTCTGAAAATCGTTTCTATCCTTTTCTATCAGTTACGAGAAAGAAGTATGCAGAATTGTTCGGGCTACCCTGGCCGACCTTGTTTGTGTACCATCATGGAGGTGGATTATTGTGAGTATTTGATCTGCACAGCATTAATTTTTAATGTTTTTACAGTGCCTAAAAATTTTAAAAACAATTTTTTATTGAATACAAAAAATACTTTTTTACTGGTTCTTCTTCATAGGTAAATACGAGGATGTATCAGAAAATAACGAGACTGGTGCTATAGTATAACAACGAAACATTTATTTAAAAAAATTCAACAACTATCCTTCGAAGTACTCTCCATTCTGTTGAATATACTTATTCCATCGCTTTATCCACTTATCATAAACTTCTGAGAAACCATTTTTTGATAGTCTGTTTAGTATACCCATCACAGCGTTATTGAGCTCTAAATCCGACTCAAATCTTCTACCTCTCAATTCTTTTTTGACTTCAGGAAACAAATGGAAGTCACATGGAGCAAGGTCAGGAAAGTAGGGGGGATGAACCATAATTTCAACCCCTAATTCTTCAATTATTCGTTGACAAATCATTGATCTATGAGCCGGAGCATTGTCGTGATGCAGCGTCCAGCCAAAGTCCTGATAAAGCGGCCTTTTTTTCTTTAATTTTGCCTTTAAGGGTCCTCGAAGTACATTAGAATAGTACTCCCCTGTTACTGTATGTCCTCTAGGTACAATGTGATCGTAAATAACGCCAAATTTATCCAAAAAAATAAGGTGCATCAATTTACCAGCACTTTTAGCAGTTTTGGCCTTCTGCGGTCTTGAGCTGCCTTTATGCTTCCATTGCATACTGGATCGCAATGATAAAACCAACTTTCGTCACATGTAACCACATTATTTAAAAACTGTGGGTTACGTTGCAATTGCCTTTTCCACTGCTGACAAATTGTCACTCGATTCGCTTTTTGTTCATCGGTCATCACTTTTGGAATCCATCTTGCCGATCTTCCGGTACTCTAAATCTTCATGAATAATTTTTTGAGTGGTACCGTAAGACAAATTAACATTGTCAGAAATTCGTTTTATGCCAATCCGGCGATCATTTTGTATCAAGTCGTTAATTTCTGCAATGTTTGTGTCATTTCTCGCTGTTTGTGGTCGACCGGGACGAGGTTCATCTTCAACTGATTCACAACCGTCTTTAAACTTTTTATGCCACTCAAACACTCTACATCGTGATAAACTATTATCTAGATATGCACCTTTAATCATTTCAAAAGTTTCAGTTGGTGTTTTACCCAATCGAACACAAAATTTTATCGCGTATCTTTGCTCCACTTTCATTTTTCGATGGGTACGCAAAACACTGACAATTCAATAATTAATTTGTAACAAATGTCAAAAGTTAAATCAAAGCCTCCTTGCGGGGTAGTACATTAAATATAAGGCTTTCATGTCTCATTTTTTGGGTTATAAAATGTTACCTCTGAAAGAAGTTATAGCACCAGTCTCGTTATATAATGATATATCCTTGTAAATTAAAACTAACATTTACAATCAAAGATTGGAGAAAAGTGTAACTTAAAAATATATTGTAAAAAGTCATCCTATTGGAGTAAACTTTAAAACAAAGGCAAGGTAATAGGATAATAACTTGTCTATCTTTTAAACTAGGAAGAAGTGGTTTGCATCATTAAATTTCTCTTTAAATGCTCTACAAAATGGTTTTTAAAAAGTCACCACTGAGTTGTTCGTAAGGTCAGAAAATATTGTTTTCAGATCAAATTTGAGGGAATTTTAAGTGTTTTTATTAAATAAACACGATTTTCGCATATTCAAGTCTCTAAACACAATTTGGATCCCGTCGACTTTAGGGACAGTGGAATTTTAAAGAAATTTATTTTTTATCAGAAAGAGCGTATTTTAAATAGTACATTTAAAAAAATTTGCGGTAAATGCATTATTTAAGCCAAAAAAAATTATTTAATTTCTATAAAAATCAGCATTTTGACTACTGTAAACATCGAAACTCGATGGTTTCTGTCAAATTTGGAAAATATAATTGCAACGTTGCCGGATTGTGATAAAATTAGTAGTTAATGGAAAATTGTGATTGCGCATACCGGTCCATAAATATGCAACAAGAGAATGAAGCAACGACTTCTCGTAGGGTGGCAGCTTCGCCGCCCCCCCTACGATAAGTCGTAGGGTGGCGGCTTCGTATAAAATAAAAATTATAGAGAATTATATTACAAACAACTTTTATTTAAACAATTTTTATAAAAAAATATTTTTTTTTATTTTATCAAATTTCTCGAATACGGACCATTTTAGGAAAATTTTGTATAGAACAAAAATTATAGATAGTTATATTAGAAGTAACTTTTATTTAAAGAATTTTCTTCTCCAAACGTAAATAACAGATATATTCCATAAAATATAAAAATGACCACCTATAAAGTATCCTCCCAGATGTTTCGACTCTGCCCAAACTAATCCGTTCATTGGACGATGGAATAAAGCTTAAGTTTAAAATTTGGTGTTTTTATATGTATTGGTTCATGAGTTATGGTGAATATAGACACACACACACAGACATCATCGCGAAAATAGTCAAAACGGATTCAGGGGACCTCAAAACGTAAAAATCCGTCGAAAACTCGAGGTCGAAAAAAAATCATGATTCCTATACTTTCCTTATATCTGTATACAGATAGGAAAGTAAAAATTGAAATTACTAACTTGCTTTTGTAAAAAGGTAATCTTGGTCCGGTGCTTCCAGAAATTCATTAATTTCTTGAGGAGTTAGTACTTTTGTTCGTTTAAGATAGGCCTTCAACTTTGAATACTTACTGATGTCTACGTTATGGTTAATATAAGCATAAAGTATTGTGTCCATAAAGTTGTTGGTTGAACTTTGTTGGACAATTGGTCAATATATTGTAATGTGAGCCATTTCATTATTCAGTCATGTTCTAATATTCCAAGTCCCTTTCTGTATTATTTGGCCTTTGAGGCTCAACTTGTCCGCTTATTTTACATAATTAAACCCCTTAAGATCAAACCTATGGGACGACTATGGTGAAGGTGCTTTCGATGATGTTCGAGAAAGAACGAGATAATGTTTCTAGTGTATTGGAGAGAATATGTGAACTTACTAGAACATTCGCCAATTTTTTAAATTTGTATATAA